GACTACTCTTTCACCATGCAGGTCAATGCCACGCTTGTGAGGTAAGGTGCACATGGAGAAAAACCCAGGTCACATGACTTGAACTCGATTGAGAACCGAGTCACAAATGATATGACATTAGAGTACATTTGACAATATAAAAAAACCATCTTGTTGACTTGAATTTTAACTCCAATTACTTGTGAATTCAATCAGACAAAACCCTTTTAAAAGTATGTTATTTAAAAAGTGGACTCTCACAATCCAATTCATTTTCTGAATGGACTTATGTTGACATTAATTATTTCCAGCATGTCAGCACTTATTTTATTGTTTTTTATTAGCAATTGGTTTAAAACCTCTGTTTTGTTACTGGGTGCCTGTTGGAAAAAATGATACCAATAACAATTTAGTTTCAGTACAAATAGTGGGCACTGGAAAAATAAAACTAAATTATATGAAAAACTTGCAAGTCGACATTTCTAGGTGTATTGAGACTTTTTTCTTGACTTGGGTTTCGAGAGCAAATCAATGTCTTGGTTCCAAACACACACACACACTTTGGTTCACCCTGTCTTTTCTTCAGGAGCATCTTTTTAAAGCTGGCTTCACTGGGGATGTACTTATTTTTCATCTTCAAAACAACCAAACATGAGCCAGTAAGGAACATTTATGTTGTAACATCATACAGACTGATATGTGATCTTAGGTATATGTTCTCAAGTGTGTTCCTTGTAAACCCCCGTTTCTTCTGTGTTTGTTTACAGCAATGCTTGGAGAACTTGTTTGGTCGAGAGATGTACAAGATGTGTATCTTCAACTTCCTCACTGCTTTTTGCAACGCTTTCTTCTTGAACTACCCCAGGAAGTGGGTTTGTTTGAGATCAACCGTCTCTTCCTTTCTTATTCAGTGCCGTGGTTAAGGTTCAAGGTTCTTTATTGTCAAACTGACATAGCTACAGAGTAATTATGTCGGTGAAAATCTTATGTCACAGGCTTCTCCAACAATGCAACATAATAATACAGATAGTAAAAGTAATACAAAAAGAAAAATAGTTCTAAAATAAAGTGAGTATGTGGAATAGTGCAGTACGAGTCTATATACAAGTTATTGGAATGATATATATTAGATAGTAGATATATATTACTAAGTAGAAGATGAATGTTTTGAAATTGTTTCAGCAGTTCAATTGTTTAACAGTCTCACTGCCCACGGGAAGAAACTGTCTCCGAATCTAACCTATATTTCGTTGTAAATGACTGCTTTATTTTATTGCTATCTCACTATATTTACATTACATTAATGTGCATTACGGTGTTCTTAATATAGTTCGCTATCTGTGTGCTTTTTTAAAATTTTTGTTTTATATTTTATGTATGCACCATGACATCAAGTCAAATTCCTCGTACGTGTGCACCTACATGGCAATAAACCCGTTTCTGATTCTGATTCTGATTCTATAGGGAAAGGTTGAAGTTTTACTTTCTATTTAAGATTCATGTCCGTTTTTTTCAAATTATCTTAATATCTGACAGGCTGCTGCATGAGAAGTATCCCTCATCCTTTCTGGCCCGATTGTGTGGAAAACAGCACTTCCTGGTCCCTTTCAATGTGTTGGATCTGGTGTACAGTCAGACTGTATCCTGGGTTGGAGTCTTCTACTGCCCTCTTCTGCCGCTGATAGAAGCCGTCACACTGATGGCCACTTTCTACATCCAAAAGGTTGTCTGGGACGTGAGAGTTATAGACCCTCTTACACAAAACTGTGTCTCTTTTGGTCTCTCAATGTTTAAATCCAGTTCATAATCAAGTACGGGCATTAATGTCACAAAATGAACAGAAGAACAACGCCCTAAAATGATAGAACTTATCTCACTATAAACTAAATAGTAATACTACTTCAATAAATACAACAAGGATCTGATAAATGTGTTCAGATAATACCATAAACTCAAATTACTCAATACAAAAATACCAAAGTTAATAGATACTTTGGATCAACCAAAATACTGACATTCAGGTGGATGTCATTATTTGTTTGGCAACATGATGATTTTTGCACAAATTGGTTAACAAATTCCTTAAATAAAGGAATGATTTTGGATAAAATAAGCTTTTTTACTCAGCTCATTTGCTCACAAAGATTAGCTTAGCTTAACAAAAAGACTGGAAACAGGGGGTAACAGATAGCCTGGCTAGGTCCTCTTTAGCTCTCATAATAACGTGTTTTATCTAATTTCAACTGTAAGAAAATCGAAAGTAAAAATGTTTTGGTTGTATGTGTGGGGGGGTTGGTACAGTGACCTCCTAGTCCTGTCGTCATTAGGCAAAAGGCTGAAAATACATGAAATGACTGAATCCAGACAATAAATAGTCTGTAACATAAGACTGTTTGCAGGTATTTGTTCGATGTAGATGGACTTGTGCACAAGATGCACTAATGACCATCAACTGTATTTGAACAGTCCATGTCTTTTTCTCTCTCTGTGTTCAGTTCTCGGTCCTGCGGTGCTGCGTGGCAGAGCAGAGGATGTTTCGAGGCTCCAGCTCCTCCGTTTTATTCCACTTTATGTTACTGCTCGGTCTCCTCATGGCTGCAGCCACACTGGGCTTCAACCTCTACCAGCAAGAAGGCACAGACACAGGGGCGTTTCCTGAACCTGGAAACATTCGGGGCTTAGCCAACAGTTCATTAAGGTACATAAGGTACCGGGCGCTACAGTGGACATTTCTACTGCAACACTCCCCACACGCACACACACAGTGCACACTGTTACAATGAAGGCTCGATAATCAGCTCACGGCATATAGGTGTAAGCAGGGGTAACCTCACCTCCTCTAGGGGGGTCCTCACCTCCTCTAGGGGGGTCCAGGGGCATGCTCCCCCGGGATTTTTTTTTTTCTTATGTCCATCTTCAAAAACTCAGAGTCCGACTGACAGTTTAAACATTGTCACACGATAGGTACCTGTCAGCCAATAAGACACGTTTATTTCCATGCAACTCTCTGGTGGTTGGTCTGGTGTCTTTCCTCTGTTGCATTCACCGAACACGAGAAATTAAAATCCTGCAGTCCTCTCTAGTGTCATGATGAGGTTCAGGTAAATAATAATAATAATAATAATAATAATAATAATAATAATAATAACTTGAATTTATATAGTGCCTTTCATAACCTCAAGGTTGTAAAGCACGGTTAATGTATTATATTATTGAGGGAGAATTGTCCGGGGCCAGGCGACGCGCCTGCACACACATGTACTTTTTAACTGTAATTTTGAGTTGCAGCCAACTATTGTAGCAGTGTTGATTCTCAATACACCCTATTTGTTTCTTTAGCCGTTTTAAATGTTCTTTTTTGCTGTTTTTTTCCTCCTTATTTTTCCCCTCCAGGTCCTCATGTGGTCCATTCGGAAATGGACTAAGTGTGTTTAATGTGACAGGAGTGTGTGTGGACAGCCTCCCAGGCCCGGCGCAGTCCACTCTCCGCTACCTGGCCTCGTCGGCCTTCGCCCTGCCGCTCATACTTGCTGAGATGTAAGTCTGCAACAGGTTTATTCACAAACACTGGTTATGTTTTTGACCAGTTTTTCCGGTTTGAAAGGAAACAAATGTAATATACTGTGAGACTGTTTTAGCCTTGGGTGAGAGAACTGGAAGCACAGTGTGTACAGCTGCTTATATCATGTGAACATAATAATCATCAATGGATATATTATTCTGTTTCCTCAGTCTAATCTTAACCTCATATGTGTCACGGGGACGAGCCAATCAGAAGGCCATCGAGAGACTGAAAGACATGCTGGTGATGGTTAGTCACATGTTATCAAACGACTAACATATTTAATTTGTCATAGACAAGATGAGAAAACATATGATTTGGTTGTTGCAAGGGAATCAGTCATTGGTTTATATCAGGGGTGTCAAACTCAATTTCATCGCGGCCCACATTAGAATTATGGTTGCACTCAAAGGGCCGGTGGTAACTTTAAGACTATATAAAATAATATATATAAAATAATTTATTATTTAACAATATTTCCTCTGCATTGTATTATTATCGGATAGGGTAATAACTTCATAATTAACTACGTCTGAAAGCAGAAGTCTGGGGCAAATAATTGCAAGTAATGGCAAGTCTCTTCAGTGCCATCTCACAAAATTAGATGCATTGTGGGACATGTAGTTTATGGGCAACGTGTTCCTGTAAAGCGGCACGTAACCTTATAATAAACGTATTATATTCTTTGCAAGCTCTTGTGGGCCACATACATGAAGTGGCGGGCCGGATTTGGCCCCCGGGCCTTGAGTTTGACACCCCTGGTTTATATGGTTAGTGTATATCAGAGTGTTGTTGTGTCTATAGACTTGTGTGTCTTCCCCCCCACAGAGCAGCTCTGATAAGCGCTTCCTGGTGAAACAGCATACCACAATGCTCAGACGTCAGAGAAACCCCTGCAGAGTGCGTCCTGCTACCATTGAAGAGAACCAACCACTGACTCCATCGCATGAAAACAATTCAAGTCTGGAGCTGAAAAAGTCAAGTGGCTGAAAAAAAAAATGAAACTGGAACTCACTGTTCCAGTTTCATGATATGAAGATAAGGTTGTGGTTGTAGCCTCTTTCTGCAAAAGTTTTTATTTTAACCTTATGTTTAAAGGGATTGTTTAAAGGGATTGAACTCTTTTTTCATCGTCCTTTTGTGACTGAAAACAGTGTTACATTTTTTTTCAACTTTCATTATTACTGTAAATTAAGAATTCATGCAAACGAATCTTATTATATCATCATTTATATGATGTTCAAAGTATTAAGTTGTTTTTCAAAATGTTTCTTTACCTGAATTCAATGACCTGTGAATGTTTTTCAAATATCTCGATAATTAAAAATGTTTGGTTTATGCTTTTTTTTGTTGTTGCTTCATTTGTTCTGTAAAATGAGCCAAAAATGCAGCCTATTATGTTATCTACTTCCAACACATGTGTAACACCCCTAGCTTTTACACACACCGCGCACACACACGCAAGCAAACACACAGACTGAACATATGTCAAAGATAAATGCGGAGCACTGTTATGAAGAGTGTACAAACTCCTAATTTACTGCCAATTTTGGGTGAGTTAGTCTAAATTATTGTAAATAGTTTTATATATTTATATTTTAGTGGATTAATATTCTTACTGCAATGTGTTTTTTGATTTCAGCTCTGGCCAGTTTCTTCATCAGGTTAGGTACGTTTGTATAGTCGTCCTTCAGATGTGGAGCTCAGCTGGACAATATTTTTGCTTTAGGACTTCTCTGATGTTATTCTTTAATCTTATAGCTAATTCAAATAATGTGCTGCCTTTAGCTGCTCAAAGTCTCTTTAAAACTTGTAATGGGTACTTTTCAACCACACTACCTGTTTTATCATGTTTCTTCAGGAGGGTCGATCTCTATTCGCCCAGTCCTGACTGGTCCAGTCATGGCCTACCTCGGCTCCAGGGTGGCTTTACGCTGCATTGCACCTGATTCCTCTCTGCCAGTCACATACGAGCTGATGGGGGTGATGGAGTCCTGATGGCCACCGTCGCTGATCTCAAAGGGGAACAACCTGCATCATTCTACCTGAAGGTTACTGTAGCATTAGAGGGGTCGTACCGCTGCAGGGCGACGACAGGAGGAAGCACAGCAGTCAGCAACAGCATCAAGCTGACTGTAGTCAGTGAGTAAGAGACAGAGATTATATATCCTGTTAGAGCTTTAGAGAGAAGGTTTGGATGTTTTGCAGTTGTGTTGTATGCAGTACTTTTCCACAATCAGTGTATTGCCTATTGTAGAAGGCCGTCGGCACACCACAAATCTGGAGGAAGAGACAGAAGTTATTTCAGCCACCCAAAAGAAAGGCAGACCAAAAAATACATACATATATTTTTTATTTCCTGTTCGGAATGATCAAAGTCAAACCACAACCCAATCAGAGCAGCCATAGACAGGCTATTCCTGTTTTCTGTAAGTTACATTTCAGGTTTTTTAAATGGAGTCTGGTCGCTTTGGCGAGATAATAGATGTTCATTAGAACAGTAAAAGACAAGCCAGCAATCTATCAAACTCACAAGCAATGTATGTTTAATTATCTTGGCCAAGTACACTTTAACGTGTAGGCTACAGGAGCCAGGGATCAAACCACATAGTGCAGCCCGCTCTACCTCCTCAGTCCAGTAACCTGATTTAGATAAAGGCTTCAGTTCCCTGTCAGAAACATAAACGGTATAGTTGTCTGACTGCAAGGAAAGCAGTGCCAATATTTTAAATACAGCATACAGTTCAAAACTATTCAATATCCTTCAATATCACGGTTATTTTATCGGAAAAAATCTATTAAAAACTTGAACCTTTCCTCTCCTCCCCAACCATCGATCATTCCCAAACTTCCAGCTCCAGCATCAAACACCAGAGTGACCTCTGAACCGTATCCCCCAGTCGCCTACGAGGGCTCCTGTATTGAACTGAGCTGCAGCGCCACAAAGGGCTCCCACCTCTCCTACACCTGGTTTTTCAACAGAAAGGAAGTAACTTCTTCAACCTCTCCTCTCTTTCACCACACTGGGAACAAGCTAGTGATGGGGAAGGTGACTCCAGAGCATGCTGGGTACTACTCTTGCATGGCTTGGTCCACTGTGCAGGACACCAGGAGGTTCTCAAGCAGCTTTGAGGTCAAAGTGACAGTCAAAGGTATACATCAACAAAAGTATATTAAAAGAATACCTGCTTGATATTCTGTTTAGTTTTGTTTCACTGCAGCCTAACATGTATTGTATCTTCTCCTCTCCACCAGTCTATGTTTCAAAACCAAGGATCTCTTTCTCCATCTCAAATCCGGGAGCTAGTCCCAGTGGCAACGTGACCTGCTGGTCAACAAGAGGGAGTCCTCCGGTCAACATCTCTCTTCTACTGGATGACAAAGAAGTGGGATCAGTCACAGCTACTGAATCCCTTGCTGCGTGGTTCTCCGTCGCTGTGGTGCTGGGGCTGGACATGGGCACTCTTCGATGTCGGGTGAATACTGAGGTGCAGAAGCTGATGAGTGAGCCTCTGACTCTGGAAGTGGGTATGAGCTACACCGACATGTCAAAGAAATGTGTCTCTCTGTGATTGCCTACCCTTTTTGGTCTTTTTAATCTTTCCGTCGTTTCCCTCCCCTTGCTTATCCAGTCCCAGTCGGAGGTGATGTGAAAGTCGAGGTTGAATATCTCTACAGAGCTGACTCCAAACTGACCGCTGCCAGGCTGAGCTGTGGAGTCAGCAGAGGAACTTTCCCTGAATACTCCTGGCTCTTGAACGACTCTGTCCTCCCCCCTGAGACTCACAGGGACTCCCATATTCAGCCCGACCCGCCTCACTATGCCCTAACTGACCATAGACGGATCCTCGTTCTGCTTAAGGTTGGACCAGAGGAGTCTGGGTATTACCGCTGCAGGGCCAGGGACAGCTACAATGACTCGGGGTACTGGGTGGAGAGTGAGGCCGTGCAGGTCCAAGTCACAGGTAAACAAAAATTGATCTAGACTAAGTGTGTGAAAAATCTTGGTGTCCAAAAAATGTATAATCAAGAAATGGTTTGACATTTTGGGAAGTGTGGTTATCTTTATTACATGATGATTAGATTGATACCATCCTCATGTTTGTCTGGTAAATATGCCTCCAGCAGTCCATTAGCTTATCTCAGCATAAAGACTGGAAACAAGGGGGAACAAATAGCTCATCACAACGGCTATCCTGGTTTGCCTTGGCAAGGTGACATAGTGTCACTATGAGGTTGTCAAAAAGTGGAGAAGAGAATAATTGAAATCGTTTTAATTCTTTGTTCAGGTTAAACTAACGAGATAACATATTAGAGGTGCCAGCAGCTGAAGTTTATGACCTTTGGTATAGCCAGGTTAGCTGTTTGCCTCCGTCTTTATGTTAAGCTAAGCTAACCAGCAGCTAGCTCCAGCTACATAATTAGCATACTTATGGTTCGCAGTGGTATGACTCTTTTTGCGTAACCTTTTACTTGTGTGACTTGAGTTAGTAAATATCCTACTGGCTTGCAGTTGTTATAGCGAAATAGCTTTGCGAGATAAAATAATTTGAGACAGAAGCCAAGATGGTCTTGTTTCTTTAAACTCGTAAGTAAAATTAGCTGCCTTGCTATGTCCTTTGTTGTTGCACTTGCTTGATGCCTTGCTGTGTTTAGCTACTTCATCTTTATGGGTGCCAAATTGCCAAAACACCTAATCTTGCTAAATGTTTTTTCTAAAATGTCACACGTGCCTTTGTAAAATGTCCTCTTTGTGTGGGATTTCTGCACTAGTTAGTGTACCACATCACTATTTATACTCTTGATCAGACAGGATCCTCAACTGCATGCCTGAAGCAACATCTTCCACTGAAACACCATCAAGTAAAAATCCCATATTGTGTATTTAAATGTCTTACATGCTGCCCTGCAGTTTGTTATACTTCAGTGGCCTTGTCCCTTCTCTTCCATAGAGGTTTTCATGAACACCATTGAGATCCTCACCATTGCGTTCTGCTGCTTTCATTTTGTGACATTGGCAGTTGCCCTGGGCTGCATATACAAGATGTTCGACCAGAATCAAGGTATTTGTGTGTTTTGTGTGTTTTGAGGGAGAAATAAAAATCAGTTACATGGAAATACGAAGTTAATTTATATTAATTGTTTTTGTGTCTTCACCCTTCATTTATTTACAGATCATGACCAAGATGCTATAATAGGGTACGTTTTATCTTAATGGACCTCACAAGGTTTATTGATCTATAACTCTTATTAACCTGTTCAACAATGTTTGTGACTTCTCTCCCAGTTTTGACACACTTCCTCTTTCTGCATCCACATCCAGCGAACAGGACGAACCTTTGTCCAGAGACTTGGTTGTTCAGAATCAGGTACATTCTGACACAGACCTCACATAAACACATGGTTTTAAATTAATGAATTATGACACATTGTCCAGTATTGCTTTACTTTAAATAGATCTCTTAGTTTTCTATCATTTAATATGTATGCCTGACATGTGATTAATAGCTTTTATAGGAAAAATGGACGAAGTGTTTAAATGTTAAACTTCCAGTTGGTCTCCCGGGTCCATTTTCTCCTAAAAACTCTAAATTATACAGAGGTGGGAGAAGTACTCAGAGTTTGTACTTGAGTAAAAGTAAAAGTACCAGAGTGTTGGAATACCCTGTTACAAGTAAAAGTTGTGCATTCAAAATGTTACTCAAGTAAAAGTAGAAAAGTGTTTTCATCAAAATATACTTAAAGTACCAAAAGTAAAAGTAGTCATTATGCAGATTGGTTCATTTCAGAATAATATATATGATATGTTTTGATTATAATTATTGATTAATTAAAGTGTTATCACAGCTGGTGGAGGTAGCTTTGTATACTGCAGGGTAGCTTGTGAATTTACTCCAGGTGTAACTAAAGTCTGATTTAAGTGTTGAACATATTTCACATCATTAATCAAAATCTGCAAAGTAACTAAAGGTACAAAATAAATGTAGTGGAGTAAAAGGAAACACGAGTTACCTCTGAATTGTAATGGAGTAGACGTACAAAGTAGCATAACATTGAAATACTCATGTAAAGTATAAGTATTTTAAAATTGTACTTAAGTGCAATCACTGTAAATCAATATTGAATTACTTCTTGATTCTTCGAATAAAACTGCATTTACCATCTCTGTATGCTGAAATAAAGTGATTTTCTGTTTTTAATATATAAGACACAGTGTGTCCAATGTATAACTCTCTTCTCTCTCTGTTTTAGACCGTAGATACCACAATATGACACAGGAGGATCATATCACCCTTGTTAAATTGGTCATCCCTTCATGCTAATTTTGTATTTTTTTAAATGTTTTTTCTGTAGCTATATATTGTTCTGCAGGTATGGTGACAGTAATGACTAAAAAGGTGTAACATTCATTTACCGAGTGACAGATCATGTTTAAAGCACAATTACTATACTGCCATGTGTTGACAAATAAAAAATGTAATTTCAAGTGAAGTTTGTTTTTTGTTTTCAGTCAAAGCAATAAAAGGAATTATGGTTTATAACACCTTTAACTCTTCATATTGCCTCTGACGTATGTTGTTTTGATATTCACAAAATATAACACCACTGACTATCTCTTTTGATGGTACGAGGGAGGGTACTGCAGGCGGGTGTCGTGTGGCACTATCAGCTATTTGCACATGTTTCTAAGTGTGTGTGTGAGTTTTTTCACTCACACTCCAAACTGTCAGAACTCTTGCATCGCAACGCGTAATAATTTTTGAGGTACAAAGTAATATGTTTTCTTCAAGAATGTCTGCTTCCCTCTTTGTGGTCATACTGGGTAAGCTACTCACCACACACTGCTCTTCATTTCACTTAAAATGATACGTCTACAAAACCATTTGTTTTCCCTCTCTCTACAGGGTTGTTTTGCTGTACCAAGGAGAGCAGTAAGTCAGTTGTATTGTTATTGTATGCTCAGTTACTACAAGTGCAAATGTGTGACTCTATTTAGTCTTTACAGTGGTTGTGCATTCTTTCAAATGTATCTTGTATTTTGATAGGTCAGTCAATCCTGGGGCGTCCAGAGCTTATGGGCCCTTCAGTGGCTTTGGTGAAAAGCATTGCTGATTTTCATTGTAAACTGGAAATCTATCCGAAGAATGTAATGATCCTGCTGGAGTTATATAAGTGAGTTTTGTTCACATTATATCTAACCATTGCATTAACATTCATTAAGTATTGATAGAAAATCCCTTACAAATATCAACATCTTCCAGGGAGGGTGACCGTGGCAAGGTGTTGGGCTGGTACACCTCCCTGAATGGGGAGGTTGCAAACTTCCCCATTGTAGTTCAACCTAACCATGAGGGCAACCTGGAGTGTGTGGCCAAGGCTCAGAACAACTCTGACATAGAGCCCACTGTCAGCTACACTCAGTACCTGAAGGTCCTCGGTGAGTGTCTTTATTACCAGAAATATATGTGTTGCAAAATGGCTTCCCTGTTACAGTAACCTAAGAAAGCGTTATTTGTCTTAGCTTGGGCATTTTGTCTGTATGTATTTATAATTGTTTCTTTACTTTAATTGTAAATTGTTTCCAATTAAGACTTTGACCTGACATTATTTTTTCCCACAATGTTTTAATTTAAATTTTTATAACACAAAAGCAAGAACAAAAACAAGAGACATAAAAAAAATCATGCTTCATCCGTATAACACAAGGCAATCATATGAAAACCTGATGCATAAAAAGAAAAGACAAAATTCAGATCCTTTACATAATCATTGAAGGGCCTCCATACATTCTCAAACACATGCTGTCTGGACCTTAATACAAGATATCTTCTCCAATGGGAGGCCTGACAGCATCCGTCCCAACCAATGAGTGATGCTCTGGCTGTGAGCCTTTTTCCAAAACAATGCAATACAGGTTTTGGCGTAGAGCAAGCTGAGGTCTATAAATGTTCGCTCATGTTTACTATATTTATGCTTTTCTGGATACAAACTCAACAGAAAAAACTTTGGATCCAGTCAAATCTGCTTTGAAATGATCTTCTCTACTGTACCTTGTACCTCTTCCCAGAACACCTTAATGTTCCCCTTGATTCTGAGCATTTTGTGCATGTATATTTTTGTTTTATCGGTTTAATCAACCGGGTTCACATTTGTTCGCATCAACCATTTATACTGTATTAGTTTCAGTCGCGTATTAATAGACCTGATATAAGCAGCAGTGCAAGCTTTTTTCCAATCTTCATCTGAAACTTCAGTCTGCAGGTTGTCCTTCCATGCATTTAACCTACAAGGTGAATTCTCTAATGAGTAAGATGAGAGCATATCATTGTTTCATTACTTTAACTGTAAATGATTTCCGATTGAGACTTTTACCTGACATTCTTAGAGCAGTATAACTAGCTACATTCAGACACTATATATCATTTAAGAAATATTATTGTATATCTGGAATAAGAATTATTTAGGGTTTACCTTTTTTTTGCTCTGTCTTTCCTGCAGAACCGGTGAAAGAGGCAGAGATTGTTGTCCATTCAGGTCCAGAGGAGTTTTTTGAGGGGAAGACACTGGAGCTTTACTGTAAGCTCAGCGCTGGAAATCATGTCTCCTACACGTGGCTGCTGAACGGTCGGCTTGTCTCTCCGTCTCGTCTCCCCTATGTTGTTGATGACCATCTCTTGATCTACAGGTCAGTGTATTCCTATTGAGATTGTCTACAGCTGCTATCTATTTAATTGGTTTATTTGGTATTTGGATAACTATTCTGTACTGTGTGTACTGACTGCATTTAGTGCATACACAAAACTAGTTCTGCACAGAGTGGCTATTGGTTGTGATGTTTTTGCTACGTTATGGTAATGGTGATTCTGGGTAGTTGTCTGGGTGTTCTGTTATCATGAAAATGTTAGATACGCATGATTAAGCAACTTCCTGTGGTCTCTGATTAATTTCTACCATACTTTTTCATAAAAGCTGCTCATTTATAACTCAACGAGTAAAAGGAAATCTGTTGAAATGATTTCTGTGTTACCCTCAGAACTACATCTGAAGACAGTGGCTCCTACATGTGTATTGCCACCAACCACTTAAACGAAACAGATGTCTTCTCCAGCAACAGCCCTGAAGTGTTAATCACAGTCAAAGGTTAGCTGTTTTTTATTATCTCTCAGGTTCAAACTGTATAGCTATGATATTGCTCTTTGAAAGGTAACATTCTCCTCCATCTTACTCCCTCAGACCTCGTGTCAATCCCTTACATCTCCTTCACCGTGTTAAAGGAAGATTCCCACAACTATTCTGCCGTGGTCGCCTGTCAGACCGCAAAAGGGTCTCCACCTGTCACCTTTTCGCTATACAACAGGACAGAATTGGTTGCCAATACGACGGTTGATGATAGAAACGCCACATTTAAGCTTCCATTGGTCTTGGACCGGCCAATGGGATGGCTCCAGTGCCAGGCAAACAATGGAGACCGGATTGAGTACAGTCAATGGATTCCCCTAGAAGTGGGTATGTGATTTCTTTGAAACTGCTGACACAAAACTGTGGTACTGACTACTTTCTTTTAATGTTCATCCATGGCGCCTCTGTTCTCCAACAGTCCCGGTTGGAGGGCCAGTGACGATGCATTACGACTATGACATTGGAGAAAACTATGCTGTGATTGACCTGAGGTTCTACTGCAAGGCACCGAAGGGATCTTTTCCACGGTACCAGTGGTTCCTCAACAAAACCCTCCTGCATGGTCGAGGAAGCTTCTACTACGTGGTCAACCAGCATCCAGGAGAGTCCATACTCATGCTGTCTGTTGGGAGGAGCAGTGCTGGAACGTACCATTGTGAAGTGTCCGACAGCTTTGACAATGCCACCACCATAAGCAGCAAAAGGCTGTACATGGATAAAGAAGGTACAGTTCATACACTGATTGATTAGAGTAACAGGTGAGAACTGCACGTTTATTTCTTCTCCCTGCTCCTGCAGTGCTAAATCGTCTCCCTGTCTTGGTGGTGGCAGTTGTCTTTGGATGTTTCACAGCCCTGGTTGTCCTGGTCTCCATTTGTTGCTGCAATGGAGTGATATACAGTGAGTGTCTGAGTCATGTTTTTATCTGGTAATGTGGCAACTTTGTCTTTGCTTCTGTGAGATCATGTTTTTTTTTGCTCTTGTTTCAGGGCGAAGGCAGTACGGAGAGAAGACTCCGTGAGTTTTTTCTCTGTTCAATTATACACTTGGAAAAATACTCAGTGCTTTGGTAGCTCACCTGGTAGGTGTTGAGCCAAATGTATGAAGGCTGAGTGGTTACTGCAGTGGCTCGAGTTAGATTCCCCTCTACCCTCCCTGTTCCTTTCTCTCTCAAAGTTGTCAGTATCAACAAAAAGCAGACATGCCCAAAAAGAAAAATGATGACCCGATTTCACATAAAGCTGTCACTTCCTGTTGTGAAGAGAGAACTGTGCTTCTTATTCCCCAGGAAAGAATAACATGTCGTCAGTTCATCAACCATCAGCAACTGAAAAGAAACAATGGCCTATGCCAGGGGCGGACTGGGGGGAAAAAGTGGCCCGGGGATTAATTGACAGACAGGCCCACTTAATGCGCGGCATGTATCGGCCGGCCGGCGACGAAAGTATGTTACTTTAACAAAAAAAACCTATGCATTTTATGTTATTTTGGACCATTATTCATATAGTAATCACATTACCTGAGCCCTTGAGTTGCCTAGAGCAAAATAGTTACAGCATATATTTAGTGATTTCAATAAACAGATCATTGATGCAATAACATTTGGACCCAATTTGCCTGACTTGACACATGGAATAAAACATGGGCGTAGGAAGCATCCTCAATGTGGGTGAGACAATTTAACAGGGGGTGTGGGCAGGTGGTGGACCTCACCTCCTCTAGGGGGGTCCGGGGGCGTGCTCCCCCGGGAAGATGAAGTTAAATGCATCAATCTGGTGCACTTTGAGAGCAAAATTAGGGACTAAATCTATGGAGACATCTCTCAACACCCATATGAAACAGAACTGTAAACAGATTTACTTTTTCTTTCAACATTTATTTGAACAGCAAGTGGAGGCAAAAATGACTGCACCCAAAACAATAAACCTGCTAGCTAACTAGCCTAAACTCAGTAACAGAATGTGGGCAACACGTTCTTCTCCACAGCCGCGCAACCTCTGAGTCAGACGTCACTTCCCCCTTTTGTATCCTACGGGTACAGCCACTCCCCCTGAACCCCGTTTCCCTGCCAACCCCCCCCCCCCCCCCTCCCCTATGCAAGCCCCTCCTTCTGAACCCAGGGCTCGCTACAATACTGTATACTGTATACACAAACTATACAAAAACGCCTTTACGCTTTGGAGCTTGTTTATCCATCTGTAATCAACTGCCAGCTAGGTCTCTCAGTCACTCACTCCTGATCGTTCACTGCGCAGTGACAGCTGCTACGGGCCTGATGTGTGAAAGTGAAACTATCTGATAGATAGAACATAGGTAGCCTATCAAAACGCCCAGTGGGGTGTGGACCACACCCCTCCAGGGGGTGGCCGGTACACTTACAAATGTGGGCCGGTAGGATTTAGGCAAAAAAAAATTATTATTATTATTTCTTTTTTTCTTCTTATTTTTTGTTTTTGGCCCTCCGGCCCACGCACAGCACCGGCCCACCGGGAATTCTCCCGGTATTCCCAATGACCAGTCCGCCCCTGGCCTATGCTATGGGAAGAAAAACAACACACCCTGTTTCCATGCTGGGTGCCATAAAACCACAGCTTTCATAGAAAGGTCCAAAACATCAACAATAATGTTAAATCCGGTTCATCTATGGTTTTGTGGGTTTATGCTCACACATGTGAAATGACGGATGTGTAATGATATCCTGTGTTAACATGGTACACAACTTTCAACAGGAACAATAACTGGTTTTGTAATAGCTCCAAATAAAGCCTCTCGTTCACAGTTAAGACTCACAGAATCAACAGTGAGTTTGGAATACATTTTGGGATACAATAACAAAAACGTAAAGAATATCCTTTTGTAATATGAACAACGTCAGAAAGATGTGTAACATTTTAAAGTTTGAATGAGGTTTCTGAGTGAAAGTATGAAGGAGCAGTTAGCAGTTGAAGTTGCATGAAGATGTTTCAAGTCTGAAGGGTTTCTCCATTCGTTCCTATAGGCGAACATTTGGATGAATTATGGGTAATATCTCTAGAATTAGGAAAGTTATGAATGTCCAGAGTAAAAGCAAACATGTCCTACTCGAGCTCAACATTTCGATGTTCAAGCAGAGTTTCTGCAAAGTAAAATATTTTGTGAGATCTCTGGCATTGTGCTGTGTGATAAAAGTGCACATTTTAGAGTGGCCTTTTGTTGTGACCAGCCTAAGGCACACCTGTGTAATAATCATGCTGTCTGATCAGCATCATGATTTCTCTGCAAAGGAGAAGTGCTCACTAACACATATTTAGACACATTTGTGAACAATATTTGAAAGAAATAGGCCTTTTGTGTACATAGAAAAAGTATTAGATCTTTGATTTCAGCTCATGAAAACTGGGAGCAAGTGTTGCGTTTATATGTTTGTTCAGTGTATCTTTTCATATTCATATTATTTTGCTACATGATTCTGCGAATGCCAAATGTCAAGGGTATGACGCTGGCAGACAAATACTCAATTGATTTAGCTTTAAAGAAACCTTATCATGTTTTTTTTTATCGCGTCCTCAACAAATCATCATGTTTAATTTAGGTGTGACTGTGGAATGTACACTAGTCCTCAGGTTGTTTAAAGGTCTATATTCCAAAAAACCACACTGCCACTTTCCCCTGACCTCAGTGATAGCATCAGCAACTTATGTAGTTAGGCTAATATCACATTACTTTCTGCTATGGCACTGCACCTTTTACAAATGTATTAACCTGTATGACATCTTTTATCACCTTTCTCCTCTCAGGTTGAGCTTTGAGATGGAGGGAATGAGGACTGCATATGAGGACGAGCTGGTTAGTCAGTATTTCTGTTTCATCGTATTCACTTTCCCCTATCATTCACTCTCACATGAGCCAGTTTAATAATGGCACATTGTATTTTCATTTGGATAAATAATGACACAGAGCTCTTCTCCCCTAACAGGATTTGTCAGAGTACAATGAGGATACTGATGTATTGAACACAGCCAGTGGTGCTGAATTTGATCAGGTGGGATCAAAATGATTTATATCAAATTTCACAATAATCTTTTAGCTCATTGTAATTCTACTGGTACAACAGGGTATGCAGTTTCTTGAAACGACAAAAAATAAATCGCTGCAGCCATGAGCCTCTGGCTACAGTCAGAAGAAGACTATAATATTATATAACGATAGAATGATATTGTCCGTCATCCTTTTTTTGGGTTGTTGTGCCAGCAATTCTTGCCAAGGCTATATTAACAACTTCTTCTACAGGTATTTCCTTACTTAAACAGCCTGAAAACAGAGACAAGAGGAATTGCATCAGTCTACATGCCTACAAACCAAATCAGCTGGTTATTTAAACAAGAAAAAAGACACCTGCTCATCTGTCTGTTTTCCCCTCAGGCATCTGAAGCCTCTGTAGATGAATGGCCCCAAATTGAGAAGGAGAAGAAGACGTTGGAGGATGAACCAGTTGATGGACCCTGAGGGTTCAAACTGTTATAAACAGAGTGCTGGTTAAATAAACATTGGTTCATAATGCTTTGCTGTCGTGTTTATTTTCAGTATGAGAGATTACTTATCTATTGCTAATGTATTGTGGTAGTAATGTAAGGATACTAGTCACTATTGAAGCCCATTTATAGGAGAAAAATAAATACATGTTTTAAAATCAAAATAACAAAAAAACAGCCTTGTGATTAAAAAGGATCGTGTTAGTATAATTATTATTACAAACTTTCACAAGATGATGATTAAGCAACAAAGAAAACTTGACTTACTATCTTTAAAAAAAAAAAATCGAGTATCTCAAAATAACAAGAAACTTTTCAACAAGGGCGGTTCTAGAGGGCCAGTGCGGAGCTTGGACCCCCTGTGGCCCCCCTTCCAAAAGAATAAATCTATGATATGCAATTTATGTAAAATACTAAGTTACTGTGCTGTAACCTGGGCCGAAGTTAACAGGGATTTTTTATTTGTCATCATTTAAGTTGCGCTGACCCTCGACAGAGGTCCACAGTTTCTCCGCAGCAAGGCTCCTCCCCGCCCCACTGCTGCAGCTCACGAGCGTGCTCTCTCTTTTTAAACTTTATTCTAAACTAAACATTTTAAAATCTCCTTCCTGCATTAAATGTGCCCCCCCATTAAATGATTGGCCCCATCACGGCCCCAGAGTAAAATTAGTCTAGAACTGCCACTGCTTTTCAAAGTGTACTTACTACTTAGTATCTCAAAACAACAAGAAAGTTTATAAATTGACTTATAATTTCGAAATAATTACCTAGTATCTAAATGAACAACTTAGTATCTAAAATAACAAAAAAACGTTTCCAAATAATCACATAGTATCTGCAGAATAACTATCTCAAAAATAATGATTTCGAATCTCAATATATAATGACTCAATATTTCAATATAACTAGAACCTTTTTTTTTTTTTTTTAAATTAATTACTGTAGTATCTCAAAAATAATTAATAAATACATTATTTTATTATCTTGTCAATAATTACTTTCATAGTATCGCAAAGAATTGAGACACTTTCTCGAAATACAAGGACTCAGTATCTCAAAAGTAAATATAGGCCTAGCCTATTTAAAAAAGAAAACTATCATAAATACAAAATCAATATTTCTGAGTAAGTTTCTAAAACTAATGACTTGCATAATATTTGTTAGTTGATATCACATTGGCGGAAGTTTCCTGGCTCCTAAACTCCGCCTCTCCTTCGCGCAGCCTGACAGCGCATCCGCGTGCGCAGCTCCTCGGGGTGGCACTTGTCTTCGTGAAGCAGCACGATAGGAGCAGAGAATAACTAGGCTCCTGCAGAAGTTAAATTGAGTTAAACTAGTAGTCTGTGCAGTCAAACAGGTGTACCCACACGGTGAGCGGCTGAACGGGGACACATGGAGGACACGGGCGGTGCTACTGCGTACGGGGTTTCGCTCGCGGGAGGAGGCTTCGACTTCTACAAGTTTATCCGACAACCTCAAACCATCGTGCGGATACTCAGCTGGGTGAGTGGGCGTAGGGATTTATGTTTTAACAGAGTGTGTACAAAGGTTGAAAGGAGACAGCAGATATATCCAACTAGGTGTTCAAGCAGGTGCGCGAGCAGGTGCGCGTGAGACCCCTCTGTCGGTCGGTTTAAAAACATATTTATTTTTGCCGGAACAACAGGCTACTGTGTGCAGCGGCTCCGCGGGGCGTCATGTTGCAGCAGCTGGTGTGGGACAGCAGCTCGGAGACAGCGCAGGTCAACACTGCTGTTGTCAGAGGACGAAATACAGGAAACTGAAACTGAGAAAGAGGCAAAACACAATCTCAAATCTCAAATTTTAACTTGAATCTGTCAGTGATTTCTGCAGCCTGTAACACTATAGCTGTGTTTACCAAAGGACAGAGGTTGGAGTACTCAGATGATCTTGTACTTAAGTTAAAGTAGAAGTACCAGAGTGTAGGAATACTCTGTTACAAGTAAAAGTCCTACAATAACATGTTACTCAAGTAAAAGTACAAAAGTATTGGCATCAAAATATACGTAAAGTACCAAAAGTAAAAGTACTCATTATGCAGATTGTTGTATTCAGAATTATATATATTATACGTTCTGATTTTAATTATTGATCATTAAAGTGTTATCAGAGCTGGTAAAGGTGCAGCTAGTTTGAATGACTTTGTATACTGCTGGGTAGATTGTAAATGTACTCCAGGTGTAACTAAAGTCTGATTTAAGAGTTACTCCAAATCTGTAAAGTAACTAAAGGTATTAAATAAATGTAGTGGAGTAGAAGTACAAAGTAGCAAAATATTGAAATACTCGAGTATTGTACCACAACATTTGACTTAAGAACAGTACGTGAGTAAATGCACATAGTTACTTTACACCACTGGAAAGTAACACAACACAAACTCAAATCTGGGATGTGTGATGAACTTGAATCCGTCTGTGATTTATGCAGCCTGTAACACTATAGCTCTGTTTACTAAAAGGAGGTTTACATTCATTGTAAGTTCTAAAGACAAACATATTACTGTCTACTACAATGTTTAGCATGGCAAAACTTGTAAAATACGAAATATCAATAGTTGTTGTCATAAAGGTTTTTTCCGTTAATGTATTTGCTTAAAGGGGTTTTCCTGTAGCAGGGAAAGTTCGGGGAAGTGGGTATTGGCTGCTGGTCACCTGTTGCTAGGCAAATCTTGTGGCAATGATTTGTTGTTGTTCTTATGAGGAAACTGATCTGGAAACTGGAAAGTCCAAAATGAATTGTAACCAGACAGGTTATACAATAAAATATTTTGTTGTCGTTTAACCCGTGAGATTGTGAGCACGCAGATTCAAGGATTGTTTCTGTCCTTGTACTTCATGGTGAAAAAGAAAGTAAAGATTTTGGTCCTCATTCAAAGTGAGTGTTATTGTACGTGCTCTCGTCTCCTTTCAGACTCCGGCCTTTGATTATTGAGAGACTGGGTTTGATTTTCATTTACTTGGTTCATGAAGCGTAAACTATTTGTGAGGCATGTAGGGTGATAGGGCTGCACGATTTGGGGAAATAATCTAATTGCGATTTTTCTGAAAGATATTGCGATTGCGATTCGATTTGCAATATTTGTTTTTAAGCGACCCAACGGAAGTTTATTGTAAAATGCGGCCATATCTCCGGCTAGGAAGGTCGTATCAACATGCTCCCGTCTCTAGCACCCCCGCAGCCCGAGCTACGAGTGAAAGAACTAAACTTACATGAAACTTCCGTTGGGTTGCTTTAAAGTCAAGCTTCAGTTTAAGATTCGCCCTGTAATAGATGTAAAACATGTGATGGAGCATTACTAACCTGACTCAGGTGGTTTGTTTCACCAAACCATCTAGGAAAGCTCCATTGCCATTTGGAAAAGGGCAGGCACTTTCAAAAATACTTGGCAGGTGATTGGATCAATCTGTCTATCACCTTTTATCATGGGCCACTTCTGATTGGTTAACAATGGCTGACACACAAGAAGAAAAAAAAAATATTTTTTTTTAAAAGATCGCAGGCTTTGCGATTTGATGATCTCATCATTTAAAATCGCGATTTCGATTTAAAATCGATTAATCGTTCAGCCCTACAAGGTGAGTGTATTGTACGGATGAGAAAACACACAGCGTCACCTAGACACTGTAGAGAATCCAGTGTGGTAGATGAGGACAGAATGTGCTCTGGTTGTACCAGCTGCTGTGTGTTGCTTGAGATGATGTGTGTGTCACTGGCGGTCACTGGTAAACAGGGCCTAATGTGCAGGTAAGGTGACACCTCTCTCCCCCCTTGACCCTCGCTTTTAATCGAGGTGAATATGTGGTGTGCTCTACCTCTTACACACACACACACACACACACATACATATACATATACACATACATATACATATACATATACATATACATATACATATACATACTTTGTGCAGCTGTGCCCAGCTCATCTCAAATTCACATTGGCTAGCTGATCTCACTTCCACGAAACAGCACCTATGACACAAGGGGGATTGTTCGCTTTGTAGCACTGCCTACAGGTCCCATGATGCACCACTTCTGCACCTGGGACAATTAAAAATTCTGGGTAAAATGGCGCTTGGTCATTTAAAGTGTTGAATGGCCTTACTATTGTTACTCTGTAAAGAAAGTGTATTACAAGTATATATACGTTAATTATGTGACAATATGAACATGCCATGATTATCCTGTTCAAAATCATTCTTAAACTCTAAAATGGCACCAATTTATACTGAAATTACTTAAATGTTGTTGAAGAATCAAATATTTATAACTGCAACATCTTTTTTTGGTTTACATTATTGGGGTGAACAACAAACAATGTTACATAAGGTAATCATCACAATTTCACCCTGCAAAGGATACATTTAATAAAAATAAAAATAAATGTATATACTGTGTGTATAAAAACTCATATCACGGTATTTTTCCAAATTATAACAGTATCATGGTAATTATTTATTTACTTTCAATGACTGGAAATGTATTTATATTTATACGTTTTTCCTATCATAGGCAGTCCCTCGAACAAATGCGTCTTTAAGAGACGCTCGACTCGACTTTAGGCATTTCACCAGTAGTGCTTGTTGAAGCAGATCGTATCTTTATACATTCTTCGTACTCCAATAAGTGCTTTCTGTTGAGTTGGTGGGAGTAAATTACTTGTGTTACCTCCTTGGGCAACAATTTTAGTTCGACAACATTCACAATAAATGTTTGTTTGGTCCACGTCAGACGTCCAGACGACAGTCACAGCTCCTCTCCTCGTATGTCATCTCCATCTCCAGTCTCATTTTCTTCAGTGTCCATCTTCACATTCAGCTTCACATGTTATGCTACTGCTACTATGTTTGACACTGTACCCCAGCATTCATTTCAGTGGTGCGGCAGTGAAATGACTCCCCAGGGGACTCCTTTCATTGCCGCACCGCTCGAGCGCCCTTCGCCACTTTTTCAACAGTATTGCGGTATATTAAAAATGAATATCATACAGTATAAAGTTCACAGTATTCGGTATGAAACGGTATACCGCCCAGCACTACCATCTGTATTAAACTCCTATATCTTTCCATCCCACAGTGAGCCCCCAAAGCTTCCTCTATACACATATAGAAGGATAAGGCTAACATGTCTTGTAACATCTGTCACTCGACACACAAACCATCTGTCTGTTCAGTTCAGAAACACCGTCTGCTCCACTAACGATCCCTCTATCTCACTTTTGTCTTGTGTTTTGGAACTCCCCCCACTGCATTCACTTCCCTACTGTCTCTGTCTTCTGCAATTTTTCGGTTCTTTTTGTCTCACCCTATCAGCAGGTTTGTGGCCCATTTTCTCTCTCCTTTCTGCTCTCTCATCTGACCTTGTCCTCCTTCCCACCCGTTCAAACTGTCGCTCTCTATCCTCCTCCCCGATCTCATTATGAGTGTTGTTAGTGGCATCTCTGCAGTCACATGGCAGCTGCACTCAGAAGTAGGTCACATGGTTAGGTGGGTAACCAGAGGAGACAGCAACAGAGCACGGGACGCTCAGAGGGACCGGGCCGCAGATAGTACTCGTCACTTTGTAAACACGCGATGAGCAGAAGAGTATTTAAAGAGACTGTTTATGATGACACACATTTGTATCCCTGTTTGTGTAATGATTGCATGTTTTGATTTGTTAAATAGGAAATGGACAGAGGTTCTTTCAGGACTTTCTTTAAATGTTATGACACATTATTTTAGGGTTTTCTGTGGAGATGGCTTTCAGTAGGCACAACCCTGAGGATGTTGCTTATTTTGTCACATAAAAATAAATGTTGAGGACTCACTCTTAGTATATTTGAAATATTTGATATTTAAACTGCTTTACAGGAAGCTCTGTAATACAATGAAAGCTGAACACATTATTTGCATAGAGGGCACAAAGCTACTAATTGAAAACATTTTTGGAAGCAGATCCAAATCCCAGATGTCGGGGTTTTGTTTGAATTCACCACCGGAGTTTTCCAAATGGACTCCCTCTCAACAACATTTTCATATCACAGTGATTCTTATTTTTGAGTAAGACTTTAGTTCTCTGCTGGTAGATTGTCACATGGTGCTTTTATGAAGTGAAACTAATGGCTGCCCGAAAAGGAAGCAAATCAGTCTCAAAACCACATTGAGCAGTTCTATGTTACTGTTAATCTGAGAAATTCCTATTGTGTGACTTTGCAAATGATTAAAGGCCACATTTTCCTTTTCTCCCTATCAATGTAGATATTTGCCCTGGTGGTGTTTGCCTCCATCACAACAGAGGGATATGTCAACACTGCCCACAGTTCCGAAGCAAAGTGCATCTTCAACCAGAATGACTCGGCATGTCATTACGCTATCGGCATCGGTGTGATTGCCTTCCTGGCATGTGTGGCCTTCCTGGTGTTGGACGTTTACGTGCCTTTTATGAGCAACGCACACGAAAGGAAGTACGCTGTCATGGCCGACCTGGGATTTTCAGGTGAGCAGGAGAGTCAAAGTGATTTCTTAGTTGGTTTGATTGAGATTTAAAGCTGCACTAATCAATATTTTATTTTACTATCACACAATTACTTAATGGATTGAGATAGATGTCCCACAGAGAAATGTCAATCTTCTCTGGTGTTCCCCTCAGCTCTGAAACCCTGGCTCCAAAATAATTGAACAAGCTCTTCATTTATATCAGGGCTGCAAAAAGTCTACACATCTTCTGTCCTAGACTAAAAACCAACCTGTTCAAATATATAGAATTGTATCCTAATAATAATAAAAGCGTAACTTAACTATATTTCCCTTAGGCGTTGGAGGAGACCAAAAACGGAGCTAAAACAGTGTATATTGGACACATCCGACTCCATATGAATGCTTATGTTGTTCCTTATCTCCATATCAACTTTATGTCAATGTTTTATTTATACAGAAAGCCCCTGAGTAATAACGTGATATGCAACAGGCTGCTGTCTGTTTTCCTGACATAACAAGACGTATATTATACATCGCGGCAGATGACATCACAGATTGGGATGAGGTTAATCATTCATCAGCTGTACATGACACAGTTCACAGTCAGCCATTCTTCGAGGAAACAAAGAAGTGGTAGTTTGGAAAACATCTTGTTGAATTGAGCAGATGGCAACAAGAGAGCTCTTTGTATTCTTTTGACGTTGTTGTTAGTATTTCACAGGATTTTACTCTTCATATCAGGGTTTTCAGCCGAACACTTTTGTTGTCTTTTCATGCAGTGAGTACATGTATATCTGTGTGTGTTTTTACATCTGTGTCCTTCTATGCTTTGCAGGGGCGTGGAGCTTCCTGTGGTTTGTGTGTTTCTGCCTGCTGGCCAGTCAGTGGGCCAAAACTCATAACGTCAGCGGTCTCCCAGAGGACGCCGCCCGTGCGACCGTGGCCTTCTCCTTCTTCTCCATCGCCACTTGGGTGAGCGGGAATGCTAAAAACAGCTCATATTTGTATTCTCATCTGAGTGAAAGCTTATTACCATATTTCCCGAAATATCGAAATATATCCTTGAAGCAAAAACTTGAAAGAGACTTGAACCCTGCATTCGGTCAGTAATCAATGTTCAGTATTTATTTATGGCTGGCTATCATTTTCACATGATATCACAGGAAATCCCATAATGTATGTGGAAGTCTTCCTGGTTGGTGTGTTCAATTATGGTGGGAACTTTGGACATTTTACACTTGAGTCAGCTGCTAAACAGCAAACCTTTTATCACTAGAAACTTTGATTAAATGTATGTCATACAAATAAATGTATTATTGTACTGACTTGACATTACTACAAGAGTAAACATTTGCTTTTTGTTTGTCTTCTGGACAAATCATGGGTTTGAGGCGTCCCAACATCACTTGAATGCACCATTCAGCAGGCTTCAATACCATACATTGGGCTCGGATAATGTAGTTAATTTCTTTTTACGTAATAAGAAACAAAATCCATTGTTTGCAAACAAATTAATCTCATTTGAATACATCTGGAATAGTTCAAAAGCTTTTAATTAATAAATTAGATCCACAAATATTCTTTTAAACATCTCATTTCATTTTCAAGTCAAATAAAATGCACTTTGCATTATTAGGATTGTCAGTAGGTCAAATCACATGACCCTATGAAAACAATACTTAAACAGACTACAGGTGTACTGTGTTTGTTTTAGATCACGTGGTTTCAGTTCCTGTCTTTTTGTTGCTTTTTAATCAAATGCAACAAGAGGAGCTCTTACTCTAAATGTTCATCTGCCATTTTCAATGCAAATGAAAAAGAACATCATCCACAAATGAACATTAATTAACCTCTTCTCCACCGCACCCCCGATACCGGGGGGAAAAACGCGTCATCTGCAGGAAACAGCGTCTGAGGGCATCTTAATATTCAATAAACTATGAATGTTTTATATCCATGTAACGGGAAGAAACTCAGCTAACTGATCTTTTTTTTTTTTTTTTCAAAAGAAACCCCACAAAGCTAGCGCTGAGCCTATGAATGAACGAGCGAAAAATGCTAACGGCGTTTTGCACAGAAACTCACTCATAACACCCTTATTACTTATCGTAGCTGCACGTCCAACCCATCGATCTGATCGTGAGATGACACAGAATCGATCGGTACATACATACATCACTCCATGATAAGAACTCGGGAAGATATTAACAAGAACAGACATCAAAACATGTGGCGCTAGGTAGCTAGAAACGGCAAAATGGCTCACCTTTGTCGTTGTCTGGTCAAAAATGGTCTTCAATGGCATAAAAACGATAAAAACGCTGCTGAAGTTAATCCATAGGTTAATCCAATGTGTCTGTGTCCCTTTGAAATGATTTCTGATAATCCATAAGCAATAAAACTGCTTTTCCGTTTCCAGATGTCAGAGCGAGAGATAGGTCCACTCTGATGCAAACCTGCATGCGCAAAGCCCCAACCTTTTTTTGTTAACATGTGTGTGTATGTGAAAATCCCCCTTCGATTCTATTGGCTCTAACGGTAAAAAAGAGATGTCAATCACCAAAATCGACCAATAGGTTCCAGAGAAACGGTAAAAACGCCCATTTCCACCCAAATCACCTCAGAGGTGCAGTTTTTTTTGCTAAACCTCTCTAAAAAGGTCAAATGTCACTTGTTTTGCATCGATCTTGATACAGGGTACTTATCATATGTTGTACTTTGGATTCCTAAAGCTTTTAGTCTACCTTACCATCATCCAAGGGTAGTTTTCACTATAAGTAAAAAAGAATTTTTGGACGGACACTATCATTTACAGTTTTTGTAAATTCAATCTGAATTTTCTTTAAAATAAAAAACATCTATATTGATTCTGACTTTTCTACATCCAACTCACAGGTTTATCATTACTTTGAGAATAAAGATTATTAATTTAACCCTTTTAGAAGGGAAGATATGGTCATTTGTTCTGGGAATGTCATTTTCGAGCCTGAGACCTGAAAAACAGGTTTTAACAAATATTTGTATTGAACCGGCTCTTATGATGAACTGATTGTTCATAATATTCATCAATTGTAATCCGAGTTGATGATTTACCCATTATTGTTTCCTTCTTCCCGATTGCATGTTATCAGTTACTTACTACCCAACCATGTGTAACAGTTTAATGCAGTATATGTCATAGTGATGGATTACTTCCCCCAATCTAAACCAGTTCAGTTAGAAGTTGATAAGAATATGTCCATCAGTCAAATAAGTCCAAAGTAAACTACGGCACATCCTCTGAAATGCTGTATAAAAACGTGAATCATTGAAAGTACTGGAAAAACTAACTGTAATACGTTTTCGTTGTGCAGGGAATCCTGACCTACTTTGCTCTGGTCCGTTTCCGGCGCGGCGTGAACGATTCGACCCTCCCGACCTACACAGAGCCTCCACAGGATCACCACACCGCCTACCCTCCCACCTACGCCCCTACCTCCTACAACCCCACCACCTACACCCCTACCACATACTCAGCCTATCCCAGCAATGGGCCCGACATGCAGCCGCAGCCTCCCTTCACCCCCACCCCCCCCGCCGCCAGCCGACGCCGGCTACCAGCCGCCCAGCTACTGAGAGAAAGGGACGAGGCGGCGTTTCCTCTGTCGGCTCACTGATGGGAGCTGCACTGCGCAGGCTGAGCTATATCATATTGATGTGATTTGACATTTGATTCAACAATCTTTCTAAGTGTTTTTCGACTTAAAAGCCTGAGCAGTGCAACTGCAAGGTGTAGATGAGAGACGCTGCTGTTTACGTCAAAGGGTCTCAAGTCAGATCTTAAGAAATCAGCTGACCGTTGAGATCAGTGCTGACTTTAGACCTGTGTGTAAAGATGCAACTTTTTTTTACCTCAAATAGGCTGATCCTGCAGAGGATAGGTAGTTAAATTGAACCAAGGAGGTCAAAGGTCATGTGACGTTGTGAAGAATACCTGTGACGGCTCCAGCTCTCTGTTGGGACCTGACGATGTGCATTTGTACATAGATCCCACCGTGCAAAGCTGCCATTTTAATGGTTGTATGTGCCTGGATTGATTTTCTTATTTGGTTTAGTGGATGCTTTCCCCTCTGTACATTTATCTTGAGGACCTTTATTAAACTGTTGGGTGGGATGTAATAAATTGACAAATGATTTTGTGGGAGTGCAGTGGCCAAATGTCCACTTTCTCTTTTAGTTTTCTATTAAATGTGGCTTCTGTAACGATCAGCAGTTAGGTTTCTTAGCCATAAAAACACATCTGAAAGAAAGTTTTGCCTTCTATGTGCTTCATCTCAACTAGCTGTGTGTATAAGACCACTCTTATCCAGAAGTGTTTAAGACAGGTACATGAACATTCATAAAAAAACCCTCCATTTCTTAAACAAATCAGTGTTGGTAAAAGTGCCAAACTACAGAGGCGTTTATAGTCAGTGCTACCCTTTGAACTTGTAGCTAACATTAAGATAGAGAAGAGGGAGGAGAACGTACATAACTGCTCTTATTGATCAGGATTATCTGCAGAGAATGTCCTCACCCTGAAGAAGAGTAACTTATTAACTACTAGAAACAAAGCTCCCTCTTCACACTTCCTCCAAGAACCTCGTGACATTTAGGTTTGTTAACACTGAGGTTTTATCTCCGGTTTACTGGCTCCTTAATCTAAACTGCTGAAGAGCGACTACAGCGGACACACCGTCTTACTTTACAGATGAACACCTCAGCCTGCAGTAGTGGGAATCAAACACCTGGCCTTAGAAAGACCGCTGCTTCTCTTTGTTGCTTTCTGCCTCAGTGATATGTCTAAACTGTCTAGATCAGGTTCTGGCTGTTTCGGCCCTTACTGCTTAACCCTCCGGTTGTCTTCGGGTCAAATCTGACCGATTTACTACTTTCATCAATCATAACTTTTTTGTTTTACATTTGATTGCATTAAGGCTTTATGATATCCTTCACAGTAGACATTTGAACATATCAAATGGCTGATCACCACTTTCATTGGATTTTGGATGATTTAGTCAACTCTGTAACACCCATGGTGTTCCCGGTCAAAAATGACCGCCATAAAGAAAAGGAATTAGTAACCATCCGGATCAGATAAAACACACACACAGACATACTCTAGATGTGTTGCCCCCCCCCCCTTATGTGCCCATCCCCCCATGTGAATCACACCTGGCACACACAAACACACACAGAACAATTTGACATATTTCCTGCTCTTATGTGCCCATCCCCCCACATGGATCACACCTGGCACACGCAATACATGTTCAGTGTCTATTCTTTGTATATTTACTGCAGTTTTTCATGTATACCAGTAGTCTGATACAATATTTACAGTTTGAAAGGGTGTTAAATTAAATTTGGTGATGATTAATGGTTTTTGTGTTAATGTAATAGCAGTTAAAACAGGACCGGCCAAATTTGACCGCGAACACCAAAGTAAGGGGGGGAAAACGAAGACAATAGGAGTGACGCTCAAGAGTTTGTCAGGATCAGAAATTGATTGTGGTTGTATTTATTAAACATGACGCTACTGTGGTACCACATTGAAGACATTTGTACAATACAAGGTTGATTATAATGTGGAAAACAACGTGCATGACCTACTGAAGCCAAATATGAGAAAATCTGCTGTTGATTTGTCTTTTGTGCCTTAAGGAGAGGAAATAAAGTCCAAAGGGTTTGTTGAATAAGTAAAATGTACCATGATTAAATATTAATGATATATCAAGTTGAAACTATTCAATTATTATTCAAGGGTTATTGGAATCCGATTGTAAATCTGCAAAACTTTAAAATGTTTGTATCTTCTGGTTAAGACTGAACCAACCTAAATGACAGTGAGTCTATAAATTGAGCCTTTTTATTTACTATAAGTATTGTTGTTGTACCAAAAGGCCACAACTCAATATGTAATATACATTTGTAGCCCAAATACATTTTTCGTAAAGTTATGCTTAAAGTTAAGTAAAGTATTTTTATTTAGTAAGGTTAACTTGTATTTAATCAAGGTGCATGTTTGAGATGTGAGACTAGAATGATTTGTAAAAACTGGCACTTAATACTGCTTTTAGCTCGATTTGTTTTTTGTAATCTGTTTCAATGTTGTTTGGATGTTTAAGACATGTGTTGCAATGATTTCATATCATGGTGTAAGAAGCACAACGGGGATTTACTGGAGACCTTATTTGTTTATGGAATAATATCAGGCACAGGATGTACAGTTACAGTACATTCAGGATGTTGATTTATGTAGTGGTAATTCCGGTTTTCACTTTTCTTTCCATTCCTACCTTCCTGCTCACAGCAAGGCCTTCGAGCCGGATTGAAACAGGTTATTTTGGTCCTCTGTAGCATGTGACTGGGTTACGCAACAGTCAGTGTAAGAGTTAATGAACATGTACTGCACGTTTTAAAAAGTTGCACCATTTTTATTTAAAAGAGGCCCTCTTGTGCTTTTTGCAGTTTCGCTTCCTGTAGTGTGTAATAAAGGTATTTGAACATTTAAATGGTCTGCAAAAGCTAAAATCCCAAAATGTCTCTCCCACACACCACACTCCTACCCCCATTGGACGCCTATGTTTACTTCCGTAACATGGTGACATCACTATGGTTCACCCATGCTCTTATTGGCTAGCGCTCCAACACATTGTATGTAATAGACTAATGGGCAGGACATCTCTAAGTGGTTGACCAATCACAACAGAGCCGGCTAACCAATCAGAGCAGACTGGGCTCTGGTTTCAGACAGAGGGTGAAAAGAGGTGCTGCAGCACAGGCAGTATGAGAAAAATAAAGAGCTTTTTGAACATTGAAGCATGGAGACATGTCACAGTAGAGACATTAAATACTAATATGAACCTGAAAATAAGCATAATTTAAGTTTATTAATCCTGATGTGTAACTAATACATGTTCAGAAAACACTAGTCAAAACTCGTAAACCGTGAATGTGAAAGAAACCACCACTGCATTTCACATGCACAATACATTTAGTTACAAAAAATAATTTAATATCTTACATTAGGCAGGCTAACAATAAAGATGTTGAAAGAAACTAAAACTACATATATTAAAACCACAGAGTAGTTAAACCTATGAAAGTTAATAAGATGCTTAAATCATTGTTTACGGCTATTTAAGTGCAACTTTATATTATGTAAAAATAAAAATACATGCACCTATAAAACACCTAACACCAACAAAGGAAATACATTATTATGTTCAAATTTAGTTATTTAGCAGTAACTTAGAGGCACCTTAAAATAACAGAAAAACATTTAGATTTAAGAAAAGCCACTCCAATGCGCACACACACAAACAATTGATTACAGGATTTGTTCCCACTGCTGAACTTTTGCAGCAAGTCTTTTTTTTGTTCAAAGTTGGAGAGAGGAGAAAAGCTTCCTGGGAAACGCAGAGTCCACAACTTTTCCTCCGTAGATGTTTTGTGGAGTTTCGCTCTTGAAAGGAGCGCTGTTCTCTTTTTGCACCACCAGACCTCCGTAACACTTTCTACACACCGCTTGGTACTTGTCAGTTCCACCAATCACTTCCACCTGTGGCACAGAGGAAACATTATTACCAGGTTATAAGATTTCCCCCCCCCCCGTTAATATACCACCAGGAGTAAAGGGGATGGACACAACTGATGATGAATTAGGGCTACTGTTGGTATAATGCGGCTTTCACACCAGCGCTTTTCCCTTTCTAGCTCCTAGCGAGAGCTTTTCTGGTTCAGCTCCGGTTTCCCTTTTCAGCTCCCGCTCTGTTCACACCGCCCAGAGCTGCCGAGAGATTTTCTCCCACAACAACAACGGGCCGGGGACTGCGTCGGGTCGACGATCGTGTTGCTTTTAATCATACGAAGCCAGATTAAATTAAATAACGACTTCTCCAACCTTATACTTTTCTCCAGAGTGCCGTGGTTGCAGCGGCATTTACCGACCGCTACAGTGCTGGCTGCTCTTCAACGGGAGTTTATTCTCCCGTTAGCTCACACGGCTCTAAAGTATTCACTGTCTGACTGTCACACAAGCAGCTGATACATATCCCCAGTTCCCCTTAAGTGAATGTGTGTCAGTCTGAATTGACGCTGTTTGGCATCACAACGCTGTTATGAAAGTTTCTCTGGTATAACATGGGTGATGTTAGCATAGCAACCGAAGCTAAACTGACTACTTGCTAAGCCGTTTTCTACAGGCACATTTTACCGGCGTATTTTTCATTATGATTCTACTTCTGATAGTCGGACATGACAACCTGTACAGCCCATGTATTAATTCCATCCGATAGCTGCTATAATAACAAACAAAACGTCTGCCTGCTCTCCACAATGATCAATAACAGCGAACGGATGGTCAAAGTAAGGTTTCCTGCACGCCTCGACGTAAGCGACGCCGCGTCATAGCTCCAAAGCTCTTGCCTCTGGACCGACAACTTTTTGGAGCTGGAAGTGAACCGCATTCCGGAGCTATGACGCGCCGCCGCTGCGGTGTGAACAGGAAAAACCGGCGCTTTTCAGGCTCTAGCTCCCAGCAGGAGCTGGAAAAGCGCCGGTGTGAAAGGGGCATAAGAGGCAAATTCCCAAGAATGTTTTGGGATATTCTTTGGGATTAATGTGTTATATTTCCGGAAGAAATACTTGAATTTTTCTACAAGACTTGAAGGTCTCATTTAAAAGAACACTAGATATTTTTGGTCAAGTTAACTTGTTTCTATTTCATAAATTTCCCAAATTCAGAAGTCTTTCTCTGATAATTACCCCCTCTCCTGGCTAAAATGGTCTTAATACACCCTCTAAATCATTTTTATAATTACCGCTGAAAACAGGAGATTTCAAATAACATATAGGCTTTTATTGAAATAAGTAACTGTTTGAGTATTGCGAACAGATTTTGGTATAACCATCTTGTTATAATAATTCAATATATAGACACGCCATAGTATTGAAGGAAACGGATTGGCCTCCTCACCTCCTTCTCTTCTCCTATCCTCTTGGTGTAGGCAGCTTCTTTGTAACACTGCATGCAGACGGCGTGGAGCTTCACTACGCTCTCCGCTAGAGGGATGAGGTTCAGGATGTTTCCAAAGGGCTACAAGAATGCACAGAACAGCAGAAAAGCAGTCAGAAAATGGATGGAGGTTTAATAACATTACAAGGACAGAACACTATAGAGAGTGATCATGAGCGCTGTTAAAGAGTGCTGCTCATGCAGATTGTTCACCGTCCTCGCTTAAGAATGTTTTTATTGTCTTGGACTTTTTCCAGACAGAGGTGCATTATCAGCATCCACAGTGTCTCAGTGATGGTGAAATATACATTGAGACAAACACAGATACTCACTTTTCTCTGAAAGGTTCCATCCAAGGCAGCTACAATGACTATCTTCCCTAAATTGGCCATTTCTTCACAAAACTCCACTGTGTCTGAAAACTACGATAACACAAAAGAAGCAGGGATTGGTTAGTGAGGAATCTGTCCCAAGTAAGACATACTGGTTTCTACAAGTGAACAATATAAAGAAAGAGAAAATGTGAAGCATATATACTTACAAACTGTCCTTCATCTATTCCAATGACACAGGCTTGTAATGCCTGAGGCCGCAAGTCTCCAAGAATATTGGCTGGTACAGCTTCCATTGTGTTTCTAACAGATGGAAAGAATAGAGGGGGGACATTAATATTATTACAGATTTTAAAATGTATCTGATACTAGTAATACATTGCAAGTTACTTTATGCAGGAGGTGTAACAAAATAATTACTTAAGACACACCATAACGGAAGTTTCTGGAGAAGTTTTGAGCAGCAGGACGTAATGAAACAGGAAGTAAAAAGATTTATCTAGTAACAGTGATAGGAATGACAACAAAGATGAACCATACTTGGCAGGAATAACACTTACTGGGTGAAATATAGCTGAGTTCTGTCTGACAAGCACGAGGTAGCAGGTTGGATCACGGACAAACTTGGTGATGTTAAGTTAGTGGATGTGAAGAGAAGAGGACTGATCATTGTGGAGTGTGGTTCACAAGCACAACTAAAGAAAGCGTTGAGATTAACAACAATGGAGGAAAACCAAGTGTCGAGTTTCCGATTTTCTAGGAAAGTTCCTTAAGAGAGTGACATCAACAGAGTACCGTCTTCACTTGATGCCAGTAGATTCAACACGTGTGACAGACTCTGCACAAGGGAGTCTCCCACCGCAGCCAGTTGGCATAGTTTTGGCACAATTCCGTTGTACATACCGACGTTAACAGCAGCCTTGTCTGTGCACATGGCGACCAACTTTGTCGTCCAGTGATCATGCCTCCTGGAAGTGCTTCAAAGGTCTGTCTTTTATGGCCTGCGCAGTTCGGTCAGCACCCAGTTCAATCAGTCCAAGAAAGTCGAAAGCAACTCTCCGTTGCTGGACACGGACACAATGTAAACGATCTCCTGCGCGGTTTTTGTGATGTCCTCAGATCCATGAGAAAGCAGCCTTCAACTTGAGTCTCAACTCCCCACTGATAGTTTGCGCGATGGTCTTCATTCTCCGTGTGTCCCCCTTCAAACTCGGTTCCAGATGGGTACCGGGTACCCATACAAAATACACAATTTTGGTTCTGCTTAACGGTTCCTAAACGCGGTAGTCCCTGTATTCCACCGGGTCCGTCTGCGCCACGGTGACCCGGTGGAATACAGGGTAAGGGTGGACTGGCCATCTGTGTGTTCTGGAGAATCACAGAACGGTCGGTCGTCAGCGGGCCGGCTCGGTACGCTGACGGCCGGCACCGCCCTTAATTTTTGTAAGTTGCGCTGACAGGCGACAGAGGTCCACAGTTGCCCCGCAGCGAGGCTCCCCCCGCCCTCCCGTAGACAGTTTACGAGCTCAGTCACTTCATAACACCAAAGATGGATCGTGGTAAACGCTCTAAAGTGAGGCTCCACTACACTAACAAAGAAAAAGACAAGGCACAGTGTAATGCCTGTTAATAGCTTGCCACAGGCATATCTCAGTTAAAATAAAGCACAGCTATTGTGCAATACATTTGTATTGCATGTATATTTTTTATTTGTAAAAATGTCACTTAAAGCTTAAAAGGATAAAGATATTTTTTTATCTAAACGTTTGACCTCTTTCTTTTACAATTTTGGAATCGAAACGGGGAATCGATAAGCAGAACCGGAATCGGAATCGATACATTTCAAACGATACCCATCCCTAGTGATAGGCGCTTCTGAGATTTACCCCTAGCCACTTCAGTAAAGGAATATCCTCGAAATGGGAAGACATGGGACGTGCATGTTTAGCTTTATGAAAGGCAAGGAGATAAGAGCAACCGGTCAGATGGGGACCTTACGTTACCCACCGTTCTGGACACTAGCTTACTCCCGCCCGACTCGCCATCTTCGTCCTCGCTCCCGGAGGAGCAGACTTTGTCGCCCCAAACACCGCCTCGGTGGCCCACATGTCCCAGGGGCAGAGTTCCCGTTAGCCGGTAATTACCGGACAATGACCGGTAAAATATGCTGAAGTCCGGCAAATCTAAATCTCTCCGGTCAAAATGTCCGGTCAAAATAATTTTCCCTTAGCGCAATACCGCATCAGTTGCGCCACTTATGTGACAGACAAGAATAGTATGTGACAGACAAAAGAGTATGTGACAGACAAAAATTGTCAATTCTAATGTCTAACACTTAATGTGGAGAAAGAGATGTCCTGTATGGGTTGATTGTGCGTTGATCTGTTGGTAATGCCTCGGGGTTCCGGTGGGCATGTAAACAAATGCATAATGCTGCGCTATACTTTGTGGCCTCATCCGGTTGCATAGCGACGCTTATTGTTTAGGTGTCTTTTAACAAGCAGGTAGTCATATCATTAGCTAGAACTAGCTAGATCTGATCGATATGGACATAAATGCGAGTAAAGTCTAATCTGACAGGAGAGAGAGATCGGCTGCTGCTGACGAGTCGACACGCAGCTCTGCATGATCCCCTGCAGCGGCGAGCAGAGCAAAACACACTTCAGGTTAGAAAATCACACGTAGCTATTTTAATTACCTCTCAAACTACCTAAACTAGTTATAGATATGTTTAGTTTTACTGTCGGGTCACTCATTACTGGATCCGCGAGCTGCATGATACTGACGGGCTGTCAGGAGAAGGAGAGAGCGCTCCGTTTATTATTCCCGCGTTTTTGTAAATTACTGTACACTTTTGAATAATGTAGTTAATCTACTATAATTAGTTTGTTTAATGTCGAATCATATCAATTTGTTTTAAAGCTCAATAAATAACAAAGAAGACCTTTAACCGGCACTTATCTAATTTTGTCCGGAAGATTTCAACTTTAACGGACATGTTGACCGGCAAAAAAATATTCTAACGGGAACTCTGCCCAGGGGACCTCTGAAAAGAGAGCCTGCCCGGGTATATCTAAACAATATTCAAGGCTTTATTGTCATGTGCAGAGTAGCTACAGTGTAGATATGGCAATGAAAAACTTCAGTCCCAGGCTCCTCCAACAATGCAACATGAATATATAGGACATAAAACAAATAAAACCAATAAAATAGTTCAAGGAATAACAATAGAAATAAAATAGTGCAAGAGAATGTTGTAAGATGTGCAAGTAAATACAAAATAAAATTGAAATAATTTCAAGAAGAGTTTATATACATGTAAATGGAATATGATATATAGATAAATAAATTATAAGATGCAAACAAATTAATGTTTATGGAGGCACTTTACAGAGCTCAGGTGTTTAATAGTCTTATGGCCTGTGGAATGAAACTGTCTCTGAGGCTGGTGTTTTAGTCCAGATACTGCGGTACCGCCTGCCAGACAGCGACAGACAAAAAGGTTTGTGCTGGGGTGATGGGGGTCTTTGATAATCCTGTGGGAATTCTTCCTGGGCCGCTGGGAGTAAAGGTCCTCCATGGATGGCAGCTCCGTCCTGGTGATGTTCTGTGCAGTTTTCACCACCCTCTGTAGAGTCTTACGGTTGAGGTCGGTGCAGCTGCCGTACCAGGCCGTGATGCAGCCGATCAGGATCTTCTCTATGGTGCACCTGTAGAAGGTCAGGATCCTCTCTATGGTGCACCTGTAGGAGGTCAGGATGCTCTCTATGGTGCACCTGTAGAATGTCAGGATCCTCTCTATGGTGCACCTGTAGAAGGTCAGGATCCTCTCTATGGTGCACCTGTAGGAGGTCAGGATGCTCTCTATGGTGCACCTGTAGAAGGTCAGGATGCTCTCTATGGTGCACCTGTAGAAGGTCAGGATGCTCTCTATGGTGCACCTGTAGGAGGTCAGGATGCTCTCTATGGTGCACCTGTAGAAGGTCAGGATGCTCTCTATGGTGCACCTGTAGAAGGTCAGGATGCTCTCTATGGTGCACCTGTAGGAGGTCAGGATGCTCTCTATGGTGCACCTGTAGAAGGTCAGGATGCTCTCTATGGTGCACCTGTAGAAGGTCAGGATGCTCTCTATGGTGCACCTGTAGAAGGTCAGGATCCTCTCTATGGTGCAGCTGTAGGAGGTCAGGATCCTCTCTATGGTGCACCTGTAGAAGGTCAGGATCCTCTCTATGGTGCAGCTGTAGGAGGTCAGGATCCTCTCTATGGTGCACCTGTAGAAGGTCAGGATGCTCTCTATGGTGCACCTGTAGAAGGTCAGGATCCTCTCTATGGTGCACCTGTAGAAGTTTCAGAGTATCCTGGAGTTCATGTTGAACCTCTTCAGCCTGCAGAGGAAGAGGAGCCGCTGTCGAGCTTTCTTGGTGATGGTGGTGGTGTGAAGAGTCCATGTCAGGTCCTCAGTGATATGGACACTGAGGAACCTGAAGCTGCTGACTCTCTCCACCGTAGTCCCATTGATGGCGATGGGGGCGTGTCCCTCTCCCTGTTGCTTCCTGTAATCCACAATCAGCTTCTTTGTTTTGCTGACGTTGAGGTGGAGGTTGTTATCCTGGCATCAAGATGTCAGGTTTTCGACCTTCTCTCTGTACGCCGTCTCGTCGCCGTTGGTGATCAGGCTGATGACGGTCGTGTCGTGAGCAAACTTCACGATGGTGTTGGAGCTGTGTATGGCCACGCAGTCGTGTGGGAACAGGGAGTAGAGGAGAGGGCTGAGCATGCAGCCTTGAGGGGCTCCGGTACAAGAACCCAACTCGCCTGTACAGTGTCATTTTGCAGCTCATGGTATAAAAAGTGGGGTTTTTTTGCACTGTAGTTAAAAGGTTTTAGTATAGAATATTGTTCTGTTTTACACCTCACACATATATTAGTACTCATTTGAGATAAGAGTACAAAAAGTTAAGCTTAATTATGTTTTTTCCTATATATATATTCCGTTAAGCCAAATTGTAAATAAATGTGTTAACCTACCTGGTAATAAACCTGTTTCTGATTCTGATTATAATAGTGTTTTTGGAAAAGGCAGTTTATTATTTATCCAGTAGTGGGCAGTAATGCAACGTTTGGATTCCAACCGCTTCTAAAAATAATCCAAGAAGAAGAAGATAAAATAAGAAGGAATGTCCCCACTAGAGGTCCTCTTTTGCCAAGGTATCAGGACAACAAAAGGCACACAGTATTTCTTCCTTTCTCTTTAAAAGCAAATAATACAATCCTATATTTAGATTAAGTCGAAATAAAGTCTACTCTTTTGGACAAAATAATAATTTATTTTCTTGTAGAAATATTTTAAGCAATCTTAGTTTTACATTGTTCTTTTGACATTTCTATTTTAGCCTACTTAGTTTGTTAAGTGCAAACATGTTATGTTACCTTATGTATCACTTGTTTTTGTAGGGAAATTGCATAAACAGATGTGCAAACATTTACAATTCAAAGCAAGGTAACAAAGTCTTAAGATCTTTCATTTTTGTTATATTCACAAACACAAAGCACAAACACTGGTATATTTCTGTAAATCAATTAAAACAGGGTACTTACTTGTCATGTGTTGCCATGCCTTTGTCAGAATAACGAGTGTCTTTTGCATACTTGATCACCAAGCAGTTGTACTGGGCTATCTGGAACCTGCGCACTCTCCTCATCAGTTCAGTGCTTCACAAATAAAGATAATAGTTTAGTTAACGTCAGAAGAAACATAACTGTACATTATAAATGACATTTCCTCTTTAACAACAATTTCAAACAACATTCTACTACACCATAAGCACGAGTCAACATATACTACTATATGGTGATATTGTTTAGTATAATGTGCAATATCGTTTTAAAGTGGTGCCACAATGTATTAAAATACAAAGCAGACTACATAACTTGTGAGTCATAACCTCAATAGACAGCAGCTGGGTAAACAATGGAGGTTATTTGGCGGGATGTTCAAGTATGAGCGGAATATATATTTAACATTACTTTAAAATGTTGAAACTGAATGACAACAGCTTGCAACTGATAGAAAAGGAAGTGCATTTGTATTGTTTTATGGATTAAAAACTCACCTTTTGCCTGAAAACATTGGTCCAAAGATGACCTAAAAACAAGAGTGAAGGGCGGTTAGTAAGACTAAGGAAGTCGGTAAAGTTGATATGGTCAATAACACACATAGAATTGATTTAATAAGACACATAACTGTAGCTAATACTCAGTCCTGTT